GAGGTTAGTGTTGTGCCTGCAAAATGACAATGGCTGCATTATTGAGAATTTACAATTTTCTGGGCCCTGTGCCACCCTGTCACAGGTATGGTATCCCTGTTTCACGGAAGCAACTCAATGTCCTAGAGAATAAGCGACTTTCCTTAGGTCATCCATCTGGGGAAAAGGTGAAATAGGATTAGAACCCAAGCCTGTGCTGCTCACATCAAGTCACAGATTTGAAAGGAAGAAGTGTCCCGATTGGGATGCAGTGGGGCTGGGAGACTAGAATCTACCGATGAGAGGTTGATGGGGAGGAGAAAGAAAGAGGCAGCCCCAGGTATTGTGTCCCCTGACCAGGCTTCCGGGACCCTGAGGCAAGGGGATAGTGACAGCCTTCTGGCCAGTGGCGACCTCTCTGCCACATAAAACCCTCTCTATGTGCATCCCATTCCCTAGGAATGGGGCACATTGAGCTCTGGCTGAGTAGGGGGCAGTGAGAACTTTCTGGAGCACCTCCCCCAGGAGGATGAGCTGAAGACCACCAGGGAGGTGTTAATGAAACAGGGAAGCTGTGAACAGACCCAGGAGTGATTCTAATCTGACACCTCCACCCTAGCCCCCACCAGTAATGAGTTAGGACCTGCCCTTCTCCCCAGAGAGGAGGGTGAGGGGAGAAGAGGAAGTCCCTGGGTATCTTTGTAGCTTCAGATGCTTCTGTTCATTATCATCAGCATCTTCTTCTCTGCAATAAAAAGCTTACATTATTAAGCACCTACTATGTCCCATGTACTATGCCAAGTCAATTTCCTAAATCCAATAGTGAATCATCACAACAAACTATGTTTGTAGTAGTAGTACCTACAATCCTTATCTCCATTTTATGGGTGAAGACACTGAGGCTCAGTTGGATTAAGTGACTGGCCTGAGGCAGAGTCAACATCTGGACGTGAGACCTTCTTGCCTCAGAAGTCTGCATTCTTAGTATTTTTGCTACTGTGCTTTTCGGCATGGACCCACAAAAGTCCTCAGTGGGAAGGTGGGTGGAGTGGAAATGTTCCTGTCTGGGAACAGGTAGAGGGTTCCAACCCTTGGGACCCTCCATGCAGACAGACATGTACGTGTAGCCCCAGAGCTGGAGCCGGTGTGGTGAAGCCAGTGAGGTGAGCCTTTGCAGCAAGCCCACCATGTATCGAGAGGTTCCAGAATAGGGAGGGAAGAACAGGAGCCTAGCCCTACCACCAAGCCACATGGTCTCCCTCTGTGTTCTCTCTGGGTGTTCTTTCCATGTGTGCAATGAGAGTTGGGCCAGGGGACTCCAAGAAGGGACCTTCATCTCTGCCCCCTGCCTGGGAAAGAGGACAGTGAGGAGCACTGGCCTGAAAGAGTATGTGGAGAGGTGAGTGTTAGGAAGAGCCTTCCCTCCAGATCCTGGAGGGAGGAGCTGAGCAGCTCTGTGAGTGGAGTCCCATGTTTGTAAACATCATTAATCAGGGATTAGCAGATGGGCATGCTAATTGCACCTGTGGAAGTCAGAGACCTCAAGGTTGATTACATTTACAAACTGGGGATCCCTGGCACCTGGCCCTGCAAGAGTGAGGGGGGAGGGTCTAGTTTAGGACCTCAGCCTGGGGGAGGGAGCTGGCAATTTCACCTCCTGCCAAAAACCAACCAACCAAACAAACAAATTTCCAGCCCTGGAAGGGGCTGGGGTGCTGGCCACGATTCAGCTGTTCTGGAATACCAGCCTTCTGAGACCCTTTCCGTCTTGGCTGGGGAGGCCTGACAAAGGAGGATCTTGCCAATGTCATCCAACCCCCTCCAGCTGCTCTCAAGAGTAAATCTCCTTGTGTGTTGCAGCTGAAATAGGTCTTAGAGTCTATGGGGAAATTGAGGCCAGCGTAGCAGGACAGCAGAGCCCATGCAGCTCCGGTGCTGCAAAAACAGCTGCCACGCTCCTCCAGGATTGGGCTGAGGGCTTACAAGGGAGCTCATTTAATCTGCACTCCAATCCTCTGAAGTGGAGGCTGTTGGAAAAGTTAAGGTATATGTCCATATTTCCACTACCAACAAGTCAGAATTGGAACTCAAAGCAAGCACTGCTTAACAGTCGGGCTCTTCAGGGTCATACCCTGACCCTGCCCTGCCCTGCAGGGGACGGACCATCATCTTGCCCCCCTTCATACCTACAGCCACAGCTGCCCCAGCACCTGTGTATTTAACCATGCTTGCTGAGCAGCCTGTATGTGTTACTCACTTAGAGGCCACCACAAAGAAATTCAGACCTCATCCTTTGCCTTAGGGTCTCAGGTGCTTTGTTTTGGGAGCGCCTGGTTTGCATGACCTAACTACATACCTATGTGTGCATAGCAGGCAATTACAGCCTCAATGCCCTTTAGTTCAAGTGAGCCTGCCTTCCCAGAGGCCCGCTGGCCTGTGGCCCAGGGGCTGAAGCAGGGAGGAGGCCCCTATGCCTGGCTCTAAGCCCCGAGAGTGGCCCTCTAGATGGCTCAGACTACTGGGACCCAGAAAACTGATGAACATGCCCAAAGCAAGTTAGATAAGGTTCCAGACATGACATAGGAGTCCATGGGCAGGAAAGCAGGCTCTGAACCCCGAGTACCCCCAACCCTAACTTCTAGGTTCCAGGCTGGGTTTGTTCCCAGAGAGCAGAGCTCGATTTTCTACTGCCACATGGAAGGAGCACCAGGACACACACACACACACATCTATATACACACATATAATGCTTACTTATTTATTATGAGGACTTGGATCATATGGTTATGAGGCTGGCAAGTCCCAGTTCTGCAGAGAGCAGCAAGCTGGAGACGTGGGAGAGCCAATGGTGCAGTTCCCATCTAAAGGCCAGCAGGCTTGAGACCAGAAAAAGCCCATGTTTCAGTTCCAAACGGCAGGAAGAATTCTTAGTCAGGGGAGAAGCCTTCCTGCCCACCCCTTTCTATTCAGATCTTCAACTGATTGGATGAGGCCCACCCACACTGGAAAGGGCACTTTGGCTTACTCAGTCTACAAATTTAGATGTCAATCACATGCAAAAACACCCTCACAGAAACACGGAGAATAAGATTTGACCATCTATCTCGGCATTCTGTGGCCCAGGCAACTTGATACATAAACTGAGCCATTATATCCAGGTCTGTATTATCATGTGCTAGTCCTGGGGTGCAGTGCCTAGGTTTACAGAATGCCTTTTACTGATACTCTCTCATTTTGTTTTTACAAATCTTTGTTGGGGACCAGTTGGCTGGAGCAGGTATCTATTTTATAGATGAGGAGGCTCAGAAGCCATCCAGGTAAGACGCCATAGAGCCAGGGCTTGACTCGCCACCTTCTGAACCTTAGTGGGAGATGAAAGGTGAACTGGCCCAAACTTTCAGGCATGCACTCAAAAGTACGGATGTGAATGATTTGGACAGTTTCTTGGACATGAGAAAGTGGGCTGTAAAACATGGGACCCAGCTCATTCCTCAGAGATTCTGATCTAACCAGCCTGATGCCTCTGAGCAGTTGGAATATGAAAGCTGGCCCCTCCCCACCACCACACACACAACCAACCCCACCTAAGGTGTAGCCAAGGTTCAAAACCACATTAGGATCTAGGCCAAGAGTACAGCAGAGTTGGGGGAAGGCAGTGTAATATGCCCAAGACTGACACATGCCAGTGGAAGTCAGAATCTGTGTGGCACTTGGGGACAGACAGCTCAAGGGTACTAATGTGGTAGAGATCCATGGAGTTTTATGAAAAGGTACTTCCTCCTTCTTGAGAGGAAAAACTTCGACTTTAAAGTAATCTTAGGCCTATTTATTTATTTATTTAGAAAGCGAGCTCATGGGGGCCAGGCAGAAAGATAGGGAGAGAAAATCCCTATCTGTGCAGGCTGATAGCACAGAGCCTGACATGAGGCTAAATCTCACAAACCATGAAATCATGACATGAGCAGAAATCAAGAGTCAGATGCTCAACCAACTGAGCCACCCAGGCGCCCTGTGCAATCTTGGGCCCTTCTAACACAAATTCAAATGTCTTTTTAAATTGACATCCAATTAGAATCCCAGGTTAAATTCATCCCAAAGAGAAAAGAGTGGTACCACTTACCGAGCACCACCATGTGGAAGGCACTGAGCTCATGTTGCCCTCTCTATCCTTCCACAACCTGGGAAGGTAGGGTGATCCCCCTTCACCAATGATGAGACAGAGGCTCAGGTGGGAAAGGACTTGCCCAAGGTGACACAGCACTTAGGACTTTAACTTAGGTTGCTCTCCTCCAGAATCCAAACTCCAGAGCAGTGGTTCTCAACTAGGGCGACTGTGTCCTCCAGGGGACATGTGGCAATATCTGGAGACATTTTTGGTTGTCACTACTGGGGGACAGGGAGTGCTCCTGACATCTAGTGGATTAGGAAGCCAGGGATGTTGCTGAACATCCTATGATGCCCAGGACAAGCCATCACAACAAAGAGTTATCTGGCCCAGAATGTCAGTACTGCTGAGGTCCCGAAGCCCCTACTCCAGTGGTTCTCAGCCTGGGCTACACATTAGACTCATTTGGGGGCCTTTAAAAATCCTGATACCCAGGTTGCCCCTTGACCAATTACATCAGATTCTCTGGGGGTGGGTCCCCAATGTGAGTTGTTTTTGGAAGCTTGCCAGGTGGTTCCAATGTGTAGCCAAGACTGCTCTAAACTACTTATACTGGGGGCTTCTCCATTTGTGGGGCCCTGTGGGAGGAGCACCAAATCCATGTGGGTTGTACAATAAACAGCAACCCCGCCCTCACCACTCCACAGAACCAAAGGCCAGGGCTCTGGTTCATCAGTTCTTTTCTCAGAGGTACACTGACTGATGAGTCACTGGTGAGGGGGTCTGGAGGGCCGGTGAGGTGAGAGGTGTTTGCTAATCTTTCCCTTGCCCCTCTGGAGGCCACAGCCAGGAATCTCCCCAGGTGGTTGCAAAAGCTTCCAGAAGAGACTACGGATCAAAGAGCAACGCTGCCATCTAATGGACGAATGGGGCAGAATGGCCCAGGTGACATTTTATTGGATCCTCACAAAGAGCCCTGTGAGGGACAGAAGGAAGAAGTCTCGTGCTCAAGGCCCCCACTAGGGCAACATTAGAGCCTGGATTTGTACCTGTCTAGTGCACAAGAGGAACTGGGCCTTTCTCTACATTCTCCCACTGGTTCAAGAGGAACAGGACACCTGGACTGGGCTGCCCAATTCCCAATGTATGTCTTGACTTCCAGGCAGGACCCAGAAGAGAGACCTTCTATCCCAGCACATCTTGGAGATTAACAAGCTCCACTTCCAACTGCAAGTCCAAAATCAAAACAGGAAACTGAACTTTCTTTTGGTCTCCACCGCAGAGCTTCCTGCCCTACAAGACAATGGTTAATAAACAGGGGCCTGGATGCACTCTCAGGCAAAAGACTCCAGCACATTCGATCATGTGGATGTGTGTGCCCTCCAGCACACACACTTCAGACAATCCAAGTCAGCCCCCATTTTTCCTCTCTTGTTCTGGTCCTGAGGACAGTCCTGGGTGCTGAGCCACTCTGAGTCCTGCTGACGTGGCTGAGGGTCCTTGGGGGTCTTAGAGAAGTTGCTCTCTCTTCTTGGCAGGCAAACCCTTCCTCTGGCTGCAAATGGAGTGAAGAAGAATTCCTGCACCAACAGACAAAAGAACAAGGTGAAGAGAGGACAGTGGAGAAGAGGAAGGGCCATGTGCCAGGACTCCCTCATCTCATCCTCAAAAGGATACATCTGGGGCACCTGGGTGGCTCATTCGGTTGAGCATCTGACTTCAACTCAGGCCATGATCTCATGTCTTGTGAGTTCAAGCCCCACATCAGGATCTACGCTGACAGCCTGGAGCCTGCTTTGGATTCTGTGTCTCCCTCTCTCTGCCCCTCCCCCCTCACTCTGTCTCTCTCTGTCTCAAAAATAAACATTAAAAAAATTTTTTAAAAAAGGATGCATTTTCCCCATTTGGCACATAAAAGGACTGAAGCACAGAAAGACAGGGAAGCTTGTTAAGGGGGAAATAGCTACACCGACGTGTGATCAGAGGGCAAGAAGTCAGGCAACAGTAGTCTCACCTGCAGCCACGGAGACATTCAAGGACTCAAGTCCAGAGGGCAGCTGCCGGCCGGGCAGGATGGTAAGGAAAAGCTGGCAGGAGGCTTGTATCTCCTTGGACAGACCAGAGCCCTCATTACCTGCCGGGCACAGAGTCAGAGGGTTAAGGATGCCCCAGCTGGACACATGGGTACTCAGGACATGCACATCTGAACAAGGAAAGTGGGGACATCTACCTACCCAGCACTAGGACAGTGGGCTGGTCCCATAGGAACTCCAAGCAACTAGTGACGGGGATCTCTGAGAACGGGGAAATGTCAGGCCCCGCGCAGCCCACTGTGCCAGCCACGAGCCAGCCCTCCTGGGTTCTGGCCTAAAAGGAGGAAGGAGAAATCAAGTTCTAGGTCACCAAACCTTCATTCAAGCCCCAGTTGGTCTTGCCCATATAATCATTCCCTGGCTGATCCATTAAATTCATCAACAGTTATTAAGCCTCTAGAATGGGCAGGCTCTGTTCTAGGCAATGGGGACAGGGCAGAGAAGAAAACAGGCCCAAGTCCCAGCTACCCAGAGGAAGGGTGACTGGGGAAGGCCTCACTGAGGCGATACTGGAGTGGGGACCTGAACAAGATGAAGGAGTACCATGTAGACATTTGGGGGCAGAATAATCTAGGCAGAGATGAGTAAGTGCAAAGGGTGAGGCTGACACTTATGTGACATGTGGGAGGAACAGTGGACTGGCAAGGTGGTGGTGGGTGGGGAGGGAGCCGCTGAGACAAGAGAGGGAATAAAGGGCCACATAAGGTAGGACCTCAAAGGCTACTAGAAAGACTTTGGCTTTTGCTCTCTAGGAGAGATGTGAAGACTTTGAAAGGTTTTGAGCAGAGAAGTAACATGTTTCAACAGAATCACTCTGCCTGCTGGGTTGAGAGCCGATAGCAAGAGACGGGACATTTCCACAATAATGCAGGCAAGAGATGATGGAGGCCTGCACCAGACTGGCAGCTGCAGAGATGGGGAGGACTGGTGGGAAAACAAAAATACCTGCATGGTAAAACCGAAAGAATTTGTGATAGGGTAGGCAATGGAGAGCAGGAACAATCAAGGCCACCACAGCACTGGGCCTAAATAAAGGAATGCGGTTGCCACTGATTGAGCTGGGCAAAGTCTATGGAAGGAAGTGCTTGGCTTTGAAAATGTGAAGTTTGAAATGCCCCTCAGGCCACAAAAGAAGCTGCTGAGTAAGCAACTGGATAATATAAATCTGGGGTTCAGGAGTCAGATCCAGGCTGGCATATACATTTGGGAGGCATCCAAGCATAGGTGGTATTTAAAGTCTCGAGACTGGATGAAACCAAGAAATGAACACATACAGAACAGAAATCCAAGGACTGGGCCTGGAAGACCTGAGGTGGGCCAGATGGTCAGGGGAGCAGTCAAATGCAAGACAAGACTGCCCCCTTGTGTCCAGCAAGAGAAGCACAACTGAAGACAGAAACAGACCAGGAAAGGGGTTTCTTTACTTAGGTTTACCCCTTCCTGGTTATCAAAGTTGGTGGTGGTGGTGGTGGTGGTGGTGGTGGTGGTGGTGGTGGTGGTGGTTTGTTTAGGTTTTAGTTTTCTGTGGAGTGGTGGTGAGGAGAAAGGCATAAGTGAGTCTTCATTCAAAGAGCCTTTCAAGCTGTGTCCCTACTCAGAGAATGCATGACTCCTGCCAACCAGCTTCTCACAGTCCATAATAACATTTACTGAAAACCTACTTAGTAGGTAGCGAGGCTCTGAGGTATACTAGCCTCTGAGGCAAAGAGGTATGCCCGGAGAAGGAGTGTGGTAAAGGGAACGAAGCTAGGAAGTCTCTAACTTCAGATTCTGCTCTACTTATGGTTTGGAAAATTCCAGGATCCTTCCCTTCCCAAAGGGATTTAGAAGGACGTAGGAAACGATGCCAACCTGCCCCTTTCTCACCCTTTCTTCCACCAGCTGCTGAATGAATGCCCTTGGAGAGACTGAGCTTGGCTCATCTCTTCTCTACCCACTGTCCCCCTCCCCGCCATTACCTGTAAAAAACCGGCCAGGTCATCAGTGGAGAACACGTCCATCACCTCCATAGCCCCTGCGCTGGCCTTGCTGACTACCGGAGTGAGCGGGCAGCTGCAAATTTCCCCATGCCCTGCATTAAACTGGGTAATCTCAAACCCGGTGCTTTGCCCTAGTCCCGCCCCACACACCCCCCTCCAGGCCCCAGCTCCCAAGGGTTAAGGGTGATAATTCTGGCGATGGGGAGGCCTGGTCGAGGGATCAAGGGTCAAGGTGCTTAGAAACTCGGCTGCGCCCCAAAGTGGAGCACATTAAGATTAAGAGACGTCCATGCCTGTTTCTCCCGCTGGTGATGACTTTATCCACTCCGAGAAAGTGAGCCGAACGCAGCACGGCCCCAAGGTTCCGGGGATCCTGGAGCCCTTCGAGGACAAGCCACAGCTGCCGGGGGTCGTCGCCTGGCCTCGCCTCCTCGACCTCAGTCCAAGGCCGAGGCCGCAGCGGGCTAACCTCCATGCAGACGCCCTGGTGGACCTGGTAGCGGCACAGGGCGTCCAGCTTCTGCCGTCTGGGCCGCAGAACTGGGATGTCACGCGCCTCTGCCGCCCGGAGCAGCTCGGCCCGCTCCCCCTGCAACCCGGACCTGCCGGCCTGGAGCAGAAGCCTGGCCACGCGTCGACGAGCGGCCCGCAGAGCCAGGAGACAAGGGGACAGGCCAAACAGAAGCTCCAGTCCCCCCGCAGATCGTGGGGTCGACGCCAGGTCATCCAGTAGCAGACGGCTCAGCTCCTCCCCGCCGGGTCGCTCCCCACGCCGCGCAGCTTGGGAGGAATGACGCGCGAGGAGACGACCCGAACACCGCCATGTCGCGCCCCTTACGGCCCAGAGCAGTGCCCTGGTCGATGCCCCCTGCTGCGTCATCAGGAGCGGTCACTCCTGCCGCGGCAGACTCCGGGTCCCCAAAACTGGTGAAGGAGACCCATTGGCCGTCCCTCCCCCGCCCCTAGACAAAGTACGAACAGCCTGGATTGCCGACTTAGGCTACCCACAAACTAGGTGTCCTAACCACTGCCGCCCCTCCCCGGCTCCCACGTGGGCTACTCCGCTTCCGGGTTCGGGCGACCCGCCCCCTGCTCGCTGACGCACTGCGCATGCCCGACCCGCCAGGCCGTGCCCACAGCGCCTCCTGCAGGACTGGCTGAGCCGCAGCCTTCTCTGTGCCCGCCGGGCTGCCCCCTGCTATGGGCATCATTCTGCGCCCTTCGAGGTCTCAGAAGGCTGGAGGGCCACATTCACCCAGGTACCCGCAAAAGCCACTTTAAGGGGATGTGTTCAACAAGGTCGTCGTGGTGATTCCCTCCCCACATCCAGTCCACCACCAGTTGCTGGGGATTTTCCTCAGAAGCTTCTGCATCCAGGCCCTCCTCTGCACCTCCACTGCCTTGTCAAACTCAGCATCAGTCAGCAGGACGCCAGCAGTAACTTCCTATCCCATGGCAGTCGTTTCTCTAAGTGACAGCTCTGTGCCTGTCCTGTACCTGCTGACAGGCAACTGATGCCCTTGGCCCACAGGTCATGACCAGACTCTGCTCAGTACTCAGACCTCGGGTGATCCAGGCAGGAGCTTCTTTTTCAGCCGCATCTCACTCCTGCACTATGTTCTGTGCTGTTCCCATGACATTCATTGCCTGCTTTTTAGGCCTCCCAGCCTTGTATCCACTCTTGTTCTCTTTCCTGGCTGTCAAACTCCTACCCATTTCCAAGACTCAACCCAAACCCATGTCTGCTACCTAAGGTAATCCACACTCCAGGAGTGATGACCCAAATCCGCCACCTTCCCATTCATTCACCTGGAAGAAATTCTGAGACACAACCACCCCAATCACAGAAGAGGAAGAACTGAAAGATACTCCTGAAGCCAAGGTAGGTTGCTGCAATTTTTCTTTTTTAATTATCACAGTGAAACCCACTTGGGAGGCAGGGCCTGGTATTCAGCTGCCATAGTCAGTTTGGAGTGATGACAACAGAGAGCAGAGAAGCCAAGCCTGGGCTGGAGAGCTGGGGTGGGGGAAGAGAAGGGGCAATGGGGGCAGTAGGGCAGGGAGAGGAGGAAGTCTGGGGTCTTGGATAAGCATTCAGACAGGAGGGGAGGGCTTCTCTCTGCCACCTCGTCCCTGAGGGACACGGGGTAGGGTACAGGCAGATAGGGGAAAGCCTCCCTTTAGCCCACAGTCCCTTCCCCAGGTCAAAAGGAAGAGACAAAGAGAGCAAACAAAGGCCAAGGAGCCTAAGAAGGGGACCAGTAATGAGTTAACAGGTAAAACAATCAGGACACCACCTCCTCTCCCCAGCCCACTGTTCATATTTGTTTGGAAATAATTTGACAAGACATAAAAACTTCCAAAAATGTGTAGCCCTGGTGGCTGGGGAGAGGAAGCAGAATCCAGGAATCCAGAAATCAACACCTAAATCCAGAGGCAAGAACCAAGCCGTGGGATGGAAGGCAGAGCTCCCCACAGGAAACTAGATCACCTGCTCCGTGGGCCTCATCTGGATGTCTCCAATCTGTTGGAAGGCACAAGGCTTGAGGCAGCCAGGACACTCTCCCCACCCGTTGGGCCTCCCCACTGTCCTCCTCTGAGGATGGTTGGGCTCTTCCAGGGGGTGGACAGTCAAGGCCAGACTCACCTGGACATGTGGAGGGGTGCTGAGGACATAGATGACAGCCTCGGCCACATCCTCGGGCTTGAGACACTGGAGAGCATGGGAGGGAAGAGGTATGGTGAGGGCAGAATGGACCTCCCACCTCTGACATCCTCTCCAACATCTTCATCCCCACCCCAACCCTCCAGGAGGGGCGACAGGCTGGCTAGAAGAGTGTAGTCTAAAGGCCAAGGTTCCCTCTGCGTTTACTTAGGGAGTGAGTGGCTCACCGGTCCCAGAGGGAGGCCTCACCCTTATGAGTTCATAGGTGGCAGCCGCCTTCTCAGGGTCCTTGTCATGGAGTTTGAAGGCAAACTGTGTCTCCACCACTTCCGGAGAGATGCACTGGACCAACAGAGAGGGCCTGCTCAGGGGCTGAGCTAAGCCCTGCCTCCATCCCAGTCAGAAGCTAGGCTTAGGGGAGGGGGAGGGTGGAGACCACAGGGCCCCCCCTGCTTCACAGTGATGGCTGCCCAATGTCCAGCAGCCACCTCCTCCTCCCAAAGCTGTCACTGGCAGTGATCACAATGACACCTACCGCCTATGGAGCCCTTTTCAGGTAAGTGTTTTACAAAATGGTGTCCCTTAAGACTTCATCACTGGGTAGGTATCATCTCCATTTTAAAAATGAGTAAGGCTGAGGCTTGGAGGGGTTGAGTGAGTTGCCCAAGGTCATGCGGCCTTCGAGGGAAGAGCCCAGAGTCTGGGTGTGCAGCCATGGTTTCCCACAGCCCCTGCTCTCCCTCAGTCTCACCCACTGTGTTCCCTTCAGGTCAGCCCCCTCCCACTTCAAAGTCAGTGACATGAGGAAGCTCAAAGGACTGTCCAGGGTCACACAAGCAGCAGCAGAGCCCAGGAGCTCTGTGCCCCTCACACTCCCAGCAGGGCATCCTGAGCAGTATGTGTGTGGGGTGCAGAAGGCCTGTGCCTACTCTGCCCCCACCAGGGCCAGGCCGCACCCTCACCGTGGCTCGGATGTGGGTCTGGGCCTCCCGAAGTTCTTGCCTCAGTCCCTCTGTCAGCGCGGTGACGGCATACTTGGTAGCACTATAGAAATGGATCACGGAGTGGGGTGACACTTGGTGACCAGACATGCTGGGTGGAGGAAGGGAAGGGGAAAGAAGACAGTGAAGCTGCTGATAGACCAGCAGTGCCCCCTGCTGGCCCAGTCAGCCCCACCACCTAGATACTGCAGGGAAGCCTTCTCAAGGGGACCTCTACAGGCCATCCTGGTGGCATCAGTGGCCCACTGATGTAGCTCCAGTTATCCAAGCAGCTCCTGTAAGTCCCACTCTTCCTAGAAGTATAACTAGGGGCTGGCCCTTGATATACACTATTCTTTCCCTCGCCATAATTGTGCCATTTGGCTGTTAACTGGGTATTAAATCCGTATTTCACCATCAACGAAACTGATGTCCAAAGAGGTCAAAAGAGCTGCAACAGATCACTCAGCTTGGAGGGTGAGTGATGATCTGAGCTTTAGCCCTTGGCCACCTGCCTCACCTGTTGATATTAATGATGTGCCCGTCATCCACCTTCCGTTCCTTCATGGACTGGTAAGCTTCCCGAGTGCAGATGCTGAGGGCCAACACGTTCACCTGCAGGCCAGGGAGGGCAGTGGGGTATCTCTAGCTTGGGCCCATCTGAGCAGGTAATAGAGCCACAGAGCCTGCCCAGGGGAGTGGCATTCTGAATCAGTGTCCAGGTCCAACCAGAGACCAACAGTGGTTCCAGGGTACCTTGCCTTAGGTGTCCCGCCCCCTAAAGCCACCAGCCCCACCTGATAACAGTGGTAATTCCTCTCCCTGGGTAACCTCCCCCTGCCAAGTTTCTGCAAACAGCAGTGGGAAACCCCCAAACCTGTCCATGACCCAGGAACCCTTCCTGTCTTGGATGTCTCCTCTACAAACAACAGAACCTCTGCCTTAGAGGGGCACCTGGGTGGCTTAGTCGGTTAAATGTCCAACTTCGGCTCAGGTCATGATCTCACGGTTTGTGGGTTCGAGCCCCGCGTCAGGCTCTGTGCTGACAGCCAGCTCAGAGCCTGGAGCCTGCCTTTGGATCTGTATCTCCTTCTCTCTCTGACCCTTCCCTGCTCATGCTGTCTCTATCTCTCTCTCAAAAATAAATAAAACCCTTAAAAAGTTAAAAAAAATAAAAATAAAAAGGAACCTCTGCCTTGGAATACCGTCTCCTTTTCTTCCCCAAATACCCTACTCCTCTCTTATCTGGGTCAGCTTCCCTGGCCTTGCTTTCTCTAAAAAGGCTAAAATCCTTCCAAAATGGCTTTAAAAATCTCTCTCCTTGGTGTGCCTGGGTGGCTCAGTAGGTTAAGCATGCGACTCTTGATTTCAGCTCAGGTCATGATCTCACAGTTTGTGGGTTTGAGCCCCATGTGGGGCTCTGCGCTGACAGTGCAAAGCCTTCTTGGGATCTCCCTCTTTCTCTGCCCTTCCTTCCTTCCCCTCTTGGCTGTGTTCTCTCTCAAAATAAACATTTTTTAAAAAATAAGTAAATAGTGGCTCTGTCAGTTAAGGATCTGATTCTTAGTTTTGACTCAAGTCATGGTTTCATGGTTCATGAGTTCGAGCCTCACATCAGCGTGGGGGCTAACAGTTCAGGGCCTGCTTGGGATTCTCCCTCTCTCTCTCTCTCTCTCTCCCCCCTGCTCATGCGAGAGTGCACTAGGTCTCTCTCTCTCTCCTAATAAATAAGCTTAAAAAAAGAAAGAAACCTTTAAATTAATTAATTTTTAAAAATCTCTCTCCTCAAGCATAGACTCTAGCCTCCCTGTGCCTTGCCAAGCTACTCTCTGTTCCTTTCCTGTCTCCTCCCTTAAGACTACAAGTAGAGAAGGCCTGACCTTCCTTCCTTCCATACCTTCCTTTAAACTCTGTTCCGTCTATAAGATTAGGCACAGAGACTCTTTATGGGGGTGGGGTAGCTGGTCAGAGGATGGCAGGGGACTCCCCAAGCACATGGGGGCCTTCTGCCTTCCTTGGCCTTTGCCAGAGGTGACCCCAAATCCCCACTCTTCGTGGAACAAAGGCCTGAAGAAGTATCTCAGCTCCAAAGCTCCTGCCAAGCCCTACCCCTGCCCCATGAGGACAAGTACAGATAAAGCTTCAGCAGGTCCTCAAGTCTCTGCTCCTGAGAAGAGACAAAACCAGCCAGGACATTAGATGTTTCTCTTTATCAAGTGTCAGAGCCAGGCATCAGGACACAACACCCTCAGCATGAACCTGCCTCAGCATTCATAGCAGAAGGACGAGAGGACCTGTTTCTGGTCCTGTTAGTAATGTATATTTGGGGGCAGAGAACTCAACTCTGAGGACAGATGGAGTATGAGAAACAGGTCCCTGGGGCCGGGGGAGTGATTCTCCTAAGGCTGGTGGGGTGGGCTGGAGATATCTCAGAAGATGATCCTAATAGAATTACATAATGTTGAACCGGGAAAGGGCCTTAGGGATTCAATATACATCCCTCAATTTACAGGTGTACAAGTTGAGGTCCAGAACTCAGATCTCCCAGAAGGCTGTCTGAGGGCAGGGGTAGTGCTTCATTTTCACTGGTCACTGTTTCAGTGTTCAGTGTTCATTTCTAGGCCCAAGCAACTTTTAGGTGCTAAATTGACTGTGGGAAAAAGATGCATCCCATATACACACTGTTTTCAAATTTCTCAGGATACTTTTATACCCTAATATTGCCCCATAGTATAGTCTAGAAGTTGAAAACCCATGTCCCGAAGATTGTGTTTGGTTTGTATAAAGTTTTTAAAACATTTTTCATTCATTCCCAACATGTATTGAAACCTTTCATTCCCGCAAAAAAATGTCTATTGAGTGTTTATGGGCTGAGGCTATAACAGAGAATAAACCAGACAAAAATCCTTGCCCTTAATGGAGCTGAGGTTTTGGTAAGTGGGAGGGGTAGGATGTCACATAAAAACCCAGGCTATCCCCTCCTCTCAAAGAAACCAGAAGATCTGGCCACACTGGACCCACAGGAGGGATGCTGGATTTCAGCAGCCACCCTTGTATTTGGCTGTGTGCTCTCCCACTTATTGCAGACTCCCCTGGTCCACCCCACTCATTTAGGTATTTACCTGGTCCCAGGGGACACTGGTGTTTGTGACCCCAGATATTGATGGTACAGGTGTGTTCACCCCAATTAAATGTGACAAGGCTGATAGAGGGTAACCACCTGCCTGAAGCCACACCATGACTGGCAGGGCTGGGTGAGAGCCTCATCTCCTGTCCCTTGGTTCCTCTTCTTCCTCTTAAGACCATGTTCCCAAACACTCAGCACGGTGTCAGCACATGGGGACATTCAATAAATAGCAGTTCTCTTCCCTACCAGTCTTTCTTCCGGTAGAAGAAAATCAGCCTGGACTTTAAGAACTCCCCCTTTAATGGGCTCAGAGGAAAGAAGAATGGAAAAGATATGGCCATTCATCCGCTTACTATGCCTCTGGTAGGGAAAGAAGCAAGGGGAGAGTCAAGGTGCCCCAGTTAGGAAGCCAAAGTTCCCTCCTGCTACATGTCCTATCCTGAGCAGCCGTCTGGTTCACAAAGCCCTGGCTCCCCACTCTCATCCCAACCCCCCACTCCAGGTCTGCAGTCCTTACATTGAACATGTCCTTCCAGCCGCTGGTGCTGCCTGAGAGCAGGGTGTCAGGCCGGGCCAAGCCAGCATTGTTGATGCAGATGTCCACACCACTGTGCTGAGAGCGGACAGCCGAGAACATGGAGAGGATGTCCTCCTCGCTGGACAGATCACATCTGTGGGGGATCAAAGTCCCGGGGTAGCCTGCACTCTTACATTTGGCAGCCAGCTCCTATGAAACCCAACAGGGGGCTAACTGGGGTGAGCTGCTCACTCCCACACCTTCCCACCCAGAGAGTCTTCCTCTGCTGTCACCACTCAGAGAACTCTCTCCTTTGGCAGCCACCTTCCAGCCACATAGTTGTTGGGACTACTTGTCCTCTTTGGTCAAAGTCCGGGGGATAAGAGCACTGCCTGAGTGAGGGGAGTTTAGGACTAGAGTTGAAGTCATCAGTGGGAGATTCTCAAAATAAACTTGAGTCTTCAGTTCTGAGAAGGGAGTAGGGAGCCAGGAATCCAAAGCATAGCATGGTCTCCATCTCTTCCGCCTCTGCTCCAAGAGGAACCCCTTCTCTGCTCATAGGTAAGTAGCACCTCTCACCCCACCCTGCTTCTTCCACCAGCACCAGGAGTCACTGAGCCGATTACGCCAGGCTTCTCTCCGCTCCCTTTGCCTCATCCAGTCTCTCCCAGAGGGCTTATGTCTGAACAGTCACCCTCCCTCCACAGAATGCAGCCAACTGGCTTTCAGACTGGGCTCAACTGCTAGTCTCCTTTTGCCCTACCTATAAGAAAGGTCAGGAAGTCAGGACAGATTCTTTCTCTCACTCCCACAGTGTACCATACTCTACCCCAAACTTTCCAGGGATATGATGAGGCAAGGTAGGTGGCAGGTGATATTGGGAAGCCCCAGTGTATCGACAGGGACCTCAGCACACAGAGGAGCCCTGAGATGGACAGACCTGAGAAAACAGAGACACTGGGAGGTGGCTGTGAGGGATGCAGACATTCAGAAGCAGGAAGAAACCAAGCTACGTGGCCCCGGAGGCCAGCGACTGGGCATCTGAGACTTGTGAAGGTGACTGTACATGTACAGCAGGGAGAGAGTTGGGTGGTAGGGCGTGCCTTAGAGGAAGGCCAGCTTGGGCCAGCTGCCTTGGCCTGGAACCCTTCTCTTCCTGCCAAGCCAAGATGGGAATAAAGGGCTGGCTCAGGTGACCTAGGAAATTTTTTTTCTGCTTTAAGTTTCCAAGAGTTCAAAAGGTATGGTCCTCTGGGACTTAGAAGGACCCCTTTACCCAATTTCATCTACTCACAACCACCTCAAGAGATAGGGCTTCTCTCTGTCAGAGGCCAAAACTCAAACTTGGTTTTAGTATCAATTAATAAAAGCAAACTATGCGCAAGGAAGCCTGGGATTCTCCCCTCCCCTGGCATGCGACTTCCCCCTTCTACCTCCAGACCCAAATCCCCGCCAGAAAGCCAGAATGGAAGGCCTGGGGACATCTTTCTCCCTGTCACTGTCTTCTCTTTGTCCCACCTGTCCTCATCTATCTTCAGAAATGACCTGAAACCATGTCAGTCCCCTCACAGAACAGGCATTTCCTCATTAAGAGAGTCATCCTGGGGCTGAGTGAACAGCCTGAGGATCCCCCTTGGAGCTCAGGGACCCCCTTTCCTGGCTGGTTTGGGGTAGTAGGAAGAGAAGGCAAGAGTGACTTTAGACTTAAGGAATCCAGTGGTCTAAGCCCTGATCCTCTAGGGCTCTGATCCTCTAGGCTCCAAGCCTAGGCTTGGGCCCTGAGCTCCTCAGAATAAGAGAAAGGGAGGAGGAGAGTAGGGCAGTGGTACAACTGGGTGACCTTGGGACTATCAGGCGGCTATAAAGTGTACCTTTGGTCAGCAGCAGGGGAGGGGAAAGCCCTCCTCCAGGTACACCTTCTCCCTCTGTCCCCACCCAAGGCTTCCTTGTGCGGGGACTTTGAGCAATGGTGGAGATAAAGCCAGGCAGCTAAGCACTAGCCCCAACCCTGAGAGTGATCTTGTCAGGCACAAATCCAAAGATGACCTATAATGAAAATTTCTCTCTTCTTCCTTCATGTTACAACGTGGCCAACTTCATTTCATTTTTCTCTGAGCCCTTGTTCACAATTTGGGGCTCCCAACCCCAGGTTAAGAGAAAAAAACCAGGAGTTCCAGTTCCATATTGTTTTGTCCCCTCAGGGCTTACATAGTCAATACCCTATTTCACCCACTCAGTCCCACCTGAGACAGTGAAACTGGAGAAAGGTCAATCTGTAGATACCCCGTTGGTCCGTTAGGCCCATTGGGCAGGGGTTAACCCTCAAATTGGGGGCTGGGGAAGGAGAGGGTGAGTCTCTTCTGAAAAGCTCCATTCCCACCCCAACCCACCCTCAGTCCTGGGTAAAAAATTATCATCATCAAAACCTCTAGCTCCTGTTCGTTTGGCTGGCCAGCCAATTTGGTTGGCTTCGTGGGCTTAGTCTGGGGACTAGAGGAAACAATCTAGTAGCCAATTTAGCCACTGAAGCCAGAAAGCTTTCTTTCCTTGGCCCTGGTTACCTAGCTAGCCCTGATCTCTGGCTTCCCTTTTCCTCAGCCTACCTGGGCAGGCAGATAGACACGGACAAATATGCCAAGGAGTTAGAGATTCGGTACACTGGAGTAAAGGCTGTTAGGAGTAGGGTCTCCTTTAAAGACGGGACTTCATGAAAGGGAAGGTAGAGGCCTGCCCGACTAGACATCTCATCCCTCATACTCTGATCCGGTTGCAGATAGCCTTGGGGGAGCAGCCTCCCCCACCGGACCGGACCCCGGCGGAAACAACGCCTCTGAGAAGGTCCGTCTCTCCGGCGGGGACTTACCTCGATGTTGCTCACGGTGCGGGCACAACCCACTACCTTCAGTCCCTGCTGGACGAGGGCCCGGGCCACAGCCGCGCCGATGCCCCCCGAAGCTCCGGTCACCAGTGCCAGCCGGTCACGCCACCGCTCCATGCCGGCCCTGGCCGTGGTCCCAAGCCGCCCGCCCACCTCGCTCCTCGAGTCGGACATTTAGATCGCGGAGCTCCACCCCGGGCCGCAAGGGCTCGGCCGCTCTTTGGTCACCGCTGCCGCGGCCGCCGTCGCCAATCTGCCCCCTCGGAGCCGCGCCTGAACCCGCCTCCATTCTGCCGGGCGCCGGGCTAGGGCTCCACCCTCCGCTCCTCCACAACCTGCCACATCCAGCGGGAATCAATCGCGGCCTCCCCGCCTCTTCCGGCCCCGCCCCATGCCTGGCGGGAGGTGAGAAACTGCTTTTCTCCGTGTCGGCTGATGGGGAGGATCCCTGCGGCCTGTGGTCCTGCTCCGGTGAGCTCTTCACTTAGGAGCAGGGTAAACCGAGGTTTAGCGGGGGCTTGCTCCAGGCCCGAGGCCATACGTATTCTTGCCCCTTGTACAGTCTCCCCTCCCTGTTTCTGACTCCTGTGGCCAGGAAAAGAAATTAAGGGCACCTAAGGTGACTCCGACGCCCCCCTCCCTGGCTGATGAGAAGGATTCAGCCCAGAAAAGGCTGAGTGTCTCAGCTATCATACCTGAGTTAACCTGACTCCCAACCCCACCTGATCCCTCGGCTTTACTAGAATGAAAACTCAAGGTTAAAAATGGAAACCCCCTCCGGTACACGTATATTGGGGATTGTATCCTTACTGGCCTGCGGTCTCCAATTGTCCTAGACCCTCCCACTCCCACTGAAAAAACATATCACTGTGTACCAAAGAGTAAAGCAATAGCTAATATTTACTGAGCGCTTACTGTGTAATTGGCATTTTGAAGCACTTTAAACATATTAACATATGCACAACAGTCCTTTAAAGATACTACCTATGAAGCTTCATTTTGTAAGTGACTGAGACAGAAAGGGGTGAAGCATGGTTTTTAGACTTCAAGCCTGCAGTCGTAGGCTTGTGCTCCTAAACAGCCTCCGTTCTCCCTTTTGTCTCTTCTTGGGTTGTTGGTTTTGCTCTCTCACCACTCAGGTGTCCCATCAAAGCTCTGAAAACTGCCTTACATTCTCAATACAGCCATCCTTCTAAAGAAAAAATCCATCTCTGCAGAACTACTGAAATCCCTCCACTGCAAGCAATCACATATGCAGTAAGAGGCTGGTTTATTCATTCACCAAGTACTCATGAGTTCGGCCCAGAATAAAGATTAAAACAAAATAAAACCAGGGGCGCCTGGGTAACTCAAGTCGGTTAAGCGTCCAACTTCGGCTCAGGTCATCTCACAGTCTGTAGGTTCGAGCCCCGCATCAGGCTCTGTGCTGACAGCTAGCTCAAGAGCTCAGAGCCTGGAGCCTGCTTCGGATTCTGTGTCTCCCTCTCTCTCTCTGCCCCTCCCCCGCTCGCTCTCAAAATAAAGACATAAAAATATTATTAAAAATAAAAAATAAAACCAGTCCTTGCTTTTAGGGATCTCAGGAGATAACGTGACTGCAGTAAGCGGTGAAGAGAGATTGGGGCACAGAGCCAAGGACTGTGCGGGGCCCTTGGTCATTTTTTATGGATTCCAGGATGAAAGTAAACAAAGGCCAGAGAGGAATCATGACTCATTTTACCTCTGCCCCATCGCTATACAACACTTAGATTTGAAAAGACAACTGAGGGGGTGTATCAAAGAAATGCCACCAACTCTAAAATCAAATCTAAGCTTCTGCTGTCGCCTACCTGAAATCTGATTAAGTGGTACAGAGCCTATAAAATTCACTGCATCCCCACTGCACAGGGGTATTGACTGTCCCACTACGTGCCTGCTGCCCACCAATATTATCAACATGAAGACACAAAGCTCTAAGCACATGTGTTTATTGAACTACTGACTCAACCTTTTAAATGGCAGCCAAGTGCTATTCCTGGGGGAATCTCTCTCCTTCAGTACTCACAGACAGCTTGTGAAAGCAGTAAACTGTAATGCCATAGTGACTTTATTGTTGGAAACCAGATAAGGAGCATGCACTTATGGACTGCAATGTGGTTAGCTCTCGGTGCAGTCTTCTGGTCCCAGATCTACACGCTAAAATAATTACTTTTCCGGCAACCTTTGGTTGAAATTCTGCCAAGTTTTGTTTTCATTCTTCCAGTTCAGTATGAATCTCTGAATTTAAGCTGCTTTATGTTAAGTGATACCAAGGAATTTTAAATAATAGCAATTAATAATCTCATGAGAAAGATGCTAGCCAGCATTTAAGGGTATTGCAGCAAATTTATTCTTTCAAAACAAAAGACTGAAAACTGCTTTTCTCAACTCTGGTCAAAGGAAGAATTTTGTCCTCAACAATTTGTATCTCTATCCTCATTTGCTCTTCATCCTAACATCAACACTGGTCAAATGCTAAGTTCAGAAGTGGCAAATATTAAAATAATGCCACACATTAAGTAGAAACATGTACACCAATTTTTTACTATGCATATTAATAAATATTCTTTATTTTAAATTTTGCACATTGCGCTTTAACATTACATCCAAACATTTTGCAAGTGGATGTCTACTTTGTAAAACCATATATTCAGCTCATTGTCATTTCTGTACAGAAGTATAAGTACAACATTACTTTTTGCCACTAAGTTGCTTTAGTAAGTCTCACAGGAAGAGAAACATTTAATGAAAAGAGATGGCTTAAATCATATGGCAGGCCTGCGCAGCCACGCAACTAAAGACACAAGCCTGAAGAAAGAACTAATGAGGTTACCTCCACCATCTCCCAAAACAAGAAAGAATCACATTGATTTAAGATAAAATTTTGCCATAAGTCACTAAATTAAGAGGTTTTTTTTTTTTTTTTTTTGAAAGAGAAGGCGCAGTAGTCATCTTGAGTGTTTCATTGAAAGACAGAGCTATTTTATTTATTTAGTTTGCTCCAGCCGTTGTCAACCAGCCACTACAGATGGGCCTCTTGTGATCATTTAAGCGGCAGTATTTATTAAATTTCTCCTTCAGATGCTGTCGGTATTGTTCTCTATTGCTGTAGAAAGACTGGTTATTAGCCATAAATGACTGTATTTCATCTTGTGAGATAAAGATTTCCTCATCTGAAGTACATTCAGACTCATCCTGCAAATTAAAGCAGTAGTTAAGATTATGACTTAAGAATGCAAAATGCTATGCTGATGGAAGACAGCTAAAAATTCAGGCAGTCTAGCCTTTTAATTTCAATTCAGTCACATGAAGTCTTTCATGGGACTGTTTACAGAACAAGTATGATGCCATTCTGTCTTAGAAAGTACAAAGTAAGAATAAAATTCAACTTAACTCAGTTTGAAATTCTGGATCTGTAATCTTAGACCTATGAGCCTAACAGGCTCCCAACTTTTGCCTTAGAAAATGACTAATTAGATAATTAGACTTTAAATAAAAACTTGAGGGGTGCCTGGGTGGCTCAGTCTTAAGGTTAAGCATCTGATTTTGGCTCAGGTCATGATCTTGTGTTTCATGAGTTCGAGCCCCACATTGGGCTCTATGCTGACCGCTCAGATTCTGGAGCCTACTTCAGATTCTGTGTCTCCCTCTCTCCCTGCCCTTCGCTCCACTCGTGTTCTCTCAAAAACAAAACAAAACATTAAAAAAATTTAATAAATGAAAACCTGAAATTAAAAGAAGAAAAAAAATGTTTCTGATAACAGCAAACCAGACTAATTAGAGATGGTTAAAACTAGTTACCAAACTAAATAACCAAACTAATATGATTATTAACTGTCTGGTACTATACTGAAATTTTTATCTCTACAAATTAAGTAAAATATAACCTTTTTAAAACTTAAGAAACTTAACCACCACATAAAAAAGAAAAAAAAACACTATGCTAAAGGATTTGTTTCCATTGGGAGCCTAACTATTATACAGAATATACTACCCTTCTCTTTTCTTCTCCCTCCTCCAAGACCCACACAAACTATGTACTGGGTTGCTTGGAATCAGGCATAATTAACGTAAAGTACCAAGACTTACAGTCAATTTTAAAAGATTTTGCAAGTTCAGTTATGCTTTTACCCTACATGAACCTAACAGAAGTAAAAAGAGGGCTCTAGTTCAGATTCTACGTTTTCTCCTGGTCTAGAAGGCTGGACACCATAGGCTGCCACTCAGAAAGGCAGTTTGCTTACAATAACCCTCTTCAAGGAGGCATACTCCTGGGCATAATGCTAACTCTATCCCTTTCTCCCAACTATTCTTTTCTCTTCCATAAAGGAGGACAAAGAAATGTGCTCTAGAGGAGTTGCATAAACCACACATGGAAGAGCAGAATTGATGACCCAAGATAATGAAAGACTGACCTTAATTTCTTAAAAGGCTCCTCAACTCCCAACTTTAAATTCTCAAATACTGTCCCCTCCCACTTCTACCTCATGAGCAATCAATAAGATATCCTTACTTACAAGGAGTTCAACTAAGCTCTTGGCACCTTTTCCGCAATCAGGACCAAATGATGGTTCTACAGGTTCTGCAAACTGTGGCACATTTTTCCTATGCTCAAACCAAGGCAGTGGCTGCCCACCCTTTTCGGGACTGCAACAGCTTTCAGGATGTGCATCTTTGGTCTTGTCGCGGTGAAACACTGTGTGCACGGTATTTCCTGAGGTCTCTCGATTACCTGGATCTGTAATACAGCTTCCAAGCTTTTGGATCTGAAAGCAAGCAAAGGATTACCCAGGTAAAAAAGGAGGGAATAAGAGGAATTATTCTTTAAAGAAAGAAAAAAAGGCCTTGATAGTGCGTTAAGCTTTTAGAAGGAACTAAATAATAGCAGCAGCTGGCATTTAGTAGGCACTTACTACATCCCAGATGCTGTTAACCCATCAACATAATCTCTTTCATCTTCACAGAACTTAATCTGATAGGGATTATGAATCTCCTTACAGATGAGAAAACTAAGATCAAGCAAACTACTCAAGATTACACGGCTAATTCATTTACAAGTATTATGAAAAGAATGAACTGGATTTATGACTCACCTGGATTACTGGACATCAGACAGACACACACACACAAATCAAAGGATGAGCAGCCAACAGAACTGCATTCTAAAGGTACTCATTCTAAAATAATAAATACCAGCAACTAAGCTGCAGA